GAAGAGACACCCCCCCCACTCCAGGCAAAGCGATGGGAGACCCCTGTGGTGGCCACGATGGTTTTGCCAAACCAAACTTGTTCACCAAGGCAAGTTGGAGGTGACCAGACCCCCAGGGTGTCCCTAAACATCTCCCAAGCTCCTCTGTGCCCCCCTGGGATGGGGCAGCTCCTTCTCTCTGCTGGCCAGGTGGAACTGGGGGTCCTGCAGAGGGGACCTGGAGGTCTCACAGAGGTGACCTGAGAGATGACCTGGGGGTCTCAGAGGTGACCTGGGGATTTCATGGAGATGACCCAGGACCTGGGGGGTCTCACAGAGGTGACCAAGGACCTTGGGGTCTCACAGAGATGACCTGGAGGTCTCACAGAGGGGACAGAGAACCTGGGGATCTCACAGAGATGACCTGGAGGTCTCACAGAGGTGACCAAGGACCTTGGGGTCTCACAGGGGTGACCTGGAGATTTCATGGAGATGACCAAGGACCTTGGGGTCTCACAGAGGTGACCTGGGGGTCTCACAGAGGTGACCAAGGAGCTGGGGGTCCCCCAGAGGGGCCTGGTGCAGGCCATGCCCGTGCTCCTCAGCTGCTGCCCGCGCTGGTGCCCTGCCCGTGCTCACCCCTTCTGGCTGGGACCCCCAGGACGCGCATTAACTGCTCTTGTTTTCCCTCCCTGACTGCTCTGCTGCTTGCAGGGACAAACTGTGAGTGACCCCAGGGACCACCAGCGTGTCCTGCACGGGGCATCCCCTGCCCCAGGCTTCTGCTTCTCAGAATTTAGGATTAGCTGCAGCCACTGGGTGGGGGGCAAGGCTGAGGGGGGCGAAAAGGACATGGCCATGGAAAGGGCCTGGAGCTCTTTTCCACTTGGAACCTCAGCAGCTGCTTTCTGTCTCCCCTGTGCCCCCCAGCTGGGGTGGCCGTGGTGCCCAGTCTGGCTGTGGGCACAAACTGGGGGTCCCATCGTGGGGGTGTCAGAGCATTGGTCCTTCTGCCCTGACTCTTGGGGGGCTCTTGGAGGGGTGACCTTGCTGCTGCAGGTCCTGAGGTGGCCCTGGAGGGGGAAACTCCAAGCAAGAAGCTGGGAAAGAGCTGCTGGATCCTTCTTGCTTTGCCTCTGAGCTTTTCGACAAGTCTCCAAAGGGTTTTCCTGGGCTCTGGATGTTGTTCTATGGTGTTTCCCCTCCTTAAGCTGTGCCTGAAAGAAATCCTGGGTGCTCCTTGTGAGTGTTGGGGAGCACTGCAGGTGCTGGGGAGCATCACTGTGGGGTGATGTCCTGGCTGATGTGGGGTACCCCCAGTATCACCATGGGCTGTGTGGTGTCCCCAACCTCAGCATCATCCTGCCCTGGGGTGAGTGATGCCCCCAGCACCCTCTGCCCTAGGGTGCCCCCAGCCTCCCCCTGCCCTGGGTATCCCCCTGGGGTGAGGCCCCAGCACCCTCTGCCCTAGGGTGCCCCCAGCCTCCCCCTGCCCTGGGTGCCCTCCTGTCTCCCTGCCGTGTCCCTCGGCTGAGGTTCCAAGCCCAAACCGTGCCGGGGGGGGTGGAGGGATGCAGCAATCCTAAATTCCTCACCAGTTGCTTGAGCACCCTCCCCCAGCTTGCTCCCCTCTCCCCCTTCCCTTTCTTCCCCCTCTCCCAGCTCCCCATTTTCCCCACTGCTCCCTGCATGTCCCTGTCCTGCTGCCCAGCTTGGCTGCTGCTCCGTGTCCCACAGCTGGGCTTGTCCCCCCATGATGGGGGTCCCTTGGGGAGGGGTGGGGGGCACAGCTCTCTGTGTTCTTGGCATTGGCACTGGCCACAGCATCTCAAAGCACAGTGTCCCCCACTCCCCACCCAATGCCACCCACAGTGGTCCTGGAACCCTTTGTAGCTGGGGTAGCCCCCCAAAGAGCTCACAGGGGTACCCCACTCTGCAGAGATGGGGTGTCCCCTCCCTTGGGGGGATCTGTGGTGACACCTCTGTCCTGTGCTTTGAGATTTTTTGGGGTTGCTTCAAGGGGCTGGAGGTCTCTGCCATCCGTCTGGGAGGGGCTGCTCTGTGCCTGTCCCTTTGTCCCCTCCTTGTCCTTGTCCTTGTCCAGCAGCACCCCCTGACCCAGCCCCACTCCTGGGGGAGACATCCCCCTGGGGCTTTCCTCCTCCCTGGCACCTGTGTGTGAAGTGCTGTCCCCAGAGTGTCCCCAATATCTTTGGGGCTCCCAGCAGCACACATGGGAGCTTGGGGACTGTCCTGGCTGCATCCAGCAGCTAGGAAAGAGCCTTGAGGGCTCATGGCACCGCGAGGGGCACCCGGGGGGGGCTGTGACCGTGGTGACAACCCCTGCACTCGGCTCTGAGCAGGTACCACGACAAGCAGGAGGTGACCAGCAACTTCCTGGGGGCAATGTGGTTTTTTTTTATCGGCTACGGGGACATGGTGCCACACACCTACTGCGGGAAGGGCGTGTGTCTGCTCACTGGCATCATGGTGAGCACTGGGATTGGGGTGGGAGGGGATGCACAGCCTCCTGACTCCCACCCTGGACCCCCTGTGTGCTCACCTGGGGGTCCCTGCACACAGGGAGCTGGTTGCACTGCTCTGGTTGTCGCCGTCGTGGCCCGAAAACTGGAGCTCACCAAAGCAGAGAAACACGTCCACAATTTCATGATGGATACGCAGCTGACGAAGCGGGTGAGGATCTCCCTTCCCCAGAGCCCTCCTGAGGGTTGGATCAGCTTTCTTCCGTTCCCATCCAGCCCTGATCCCAAGGGTTTGTTGGCTCCCAGGTGAAAAATGCTGCTGCCAACGTACTCAGGGAAACGTGGCTCATCTACAAACACACCAAGCTGGTGAAGAAGATCGACCATGCCAAAGTTCGGAAACACCAGCGTAAGTTCCTCCAAGCCATCCATCAGTAAGTGCCAAACCTTTACCTGCTTCCTACCAGGAATGCTTTCCCATCAGAGAGGTGTTTTCCCAGGAGGAGAGCTGGGGGTTTCCTCCCCTTCTGTGCCCACACTGCCTGGAGCTCTGGGTTGGGAACCAGGTGCTCCCTATCCATGTCCTTCTCCCCCATCCTATGTCCTGGTCCCCTCTTCCCAGTCCTGGTCCTCTATTCCCCGTTCATGTCCCTTATCCCCATTCCCTATCCCACGTCCTTGTTCCCCATCCCTTGTTCTTGTCCCTTGTTTCTGCTCTCCCCATTCCCTGTCCTTGTTCCCCATTCCCTGACCTTGGCCCTATCTCTGCTGTTCTCCTCTCCACTATCCCCTGTTCTTGTCCCCCACCCCCTGTCCTTGTCCCC